TCAAGGCTAAGAAAAAGGTTGCAAAGCTAAGGGCAGAGACAAGTACTATTACTAAGCCTCATGACATGGATGTTTCATGGAAGTTGTTTCAGAAGTGGATGTCTTTTGATTTTGAAAGGCTGAAGACCTTCTCTGAAGCCCAAAATTGCTGTTGTTCAGACAACGACAAAAAGAGAGGAAAGAATCAGAGTCTTCCAAATTATTGCTAAGAAGCAAAGAGAAGCTAAAGATAGAGAACTCCAAGAGGCAGAAGAAGCTAGGCTTAATTCTGAGGAAGATGCCAGAGTTGTTGAGGAAGCCAGGTTGGCTCTGGAAGTTGAAGAGGCAGAAAAGGAAAAACAAGATGCTTTGGTTGTGTCTTCTTCTGATTCTGTCATTGCACATTTGTAAAACGCAATTGGTGAGATTATAAGAGAACAACAGTTTTTTAGTGAAATCATCATTCAACAGAAGGCTATCAATGTGAATGTTTAGAACATGCTACAACTGATTCTTGACAAGATATATTCTCCAACACCTCTTGCATCTGGACCCTAGGCTCTTAGGCTTTTATTTTACCTTTTTCTTCAACCTTAGAACTCTTGCTTCTTATGTTTTCTTTTATATCTTATGATCTTTTAAACTTAACGAAAGTATTATTTTCACTTCAAACTTTTACTTGTTATTTCTTCTGTTTTTATATTTTTCACACATAATTACCTTTTTGATTATGACAAAAGGGGGAGTAAATAACTGGAAGTAATATTTTGATTATGATAATTAAATTCTATAAAATGTCTCTGAAAAAAGCTGCTTACATTCTAACTCAGTTAAACTTTTGTTTATGTTAAACTTATTTTCTTTTTCAAGAATTATAAACTCTAATTAAAGTCAAGATCTGAAAGTGTTAAACAAGGATTTTGTCTAACTTTTGGATTCAGACTCTGAGAAGGTCTTAAGTTCATAATCAGACTATTCATAACCAGGTTCTAAATTGAGAATTTGGAATCTATCTTTGTGACGTTAGAGGTTCAAGATCTCAATTGGCATGATTGGTATCAAGACTCCCAAGATCTCAATATCTGATCTATTGGAACCAGAGGGAGTTCTACTCAAATGGTTCAGAATCAGGATATTTGATCTTCATCAAGTCTTTGAGTCAGGGGGAGTTTCATAAAAGGATAAGTATTCCTTACCTTTCTTATTATACTTTTTCTGATTATGTACAAAATTGTGTCATCAAAATACATAGTTTTGTCATCATCAAAAAGGGGGAGATTGTTAGAACAAGATTTAGTTCTGCAACTTTATCTGAGTTTTGATGATAACAAATGAGTATGTTTGTATGAACAATTTTGGTACTCTACTTTTTTATTTTATTTTGAGTATTTAACAAACAGGTTCTGCTTCTGACGAATGGCGTGGCCAAGATATTAGAAGAGACAAGTTCCAGTTATGCGCTACACAAGTTCTAATAAACAGTAGCAAGACACTCCAGAAGACTCTGAAGTGTAAACTCTGATATGAAGTCTAAAGAAACCAGTCAGAAGATCTGAAGATAAAAGTTCTACTGAAGTCCAGATGCTAAAGACTCATGTTTTTGAAGACAACATATTCTAAAGAAACCAGTCAGAAGATCCGAAGACACAAGTTTCTACTGAAATCCAGATGCTGAAGACTCATGTTTTTGAAGACAAAGGGTTCTCAAAGACCAAGTGCTGAAGATTCTGAAGACGTAGTTCTGAAGACTATGAAGATTTGATGTTCTGAAGACCCAATGTTCTAGAAAAGGTTCTCAAGACCAAGTGCTGAAGATTCGGAAGACGAAGTTCTTAAGACTCTGAAGACTTGAAGTTCTGAAGACCCAAGGTTCTAGAAAAGGTTCTCAAGACCAAGTGCTGAAGATTCTGGAGACGCTGTTCTGAATACTCTGAAGACTTGAAGTTCTAAAGACCCAAGGTTCTAGAAAAGGTTCTCAAAGACCAAGTGCTGAAGACTCTGAAGACTTGAAGTTCTGAAGACTCAAGGTTCTAGAAAAGGTTCTCAAGACCAAGGGTTGAAGATTCTGAAGACGAAGTTCTTAAGACTCTAAAGACTTGAATTTCCGAAGACCCAAGATTCTAGAAAAGGTTATCAAGACCAAGTGCTAAAGATTCTGAAGTCAAAGTTCTTAAGACTCCGAAGACTTGAAATTCTGAAGACCCAAGGTTCGATTAGAGGTTATTAAGACCAAGTGTTGAAGACTCTGAAGACGCAATTCTAAAGACTCTGAAGACTTGAAGTTCTGATGATCTTAGTGTTATGTTCTCTCTTCTAAGCTCATGCTCGCAGAAGCCTCTGAAGTACAAAAGGAAAGAAGACAACGTTAACGTGATACATTAGTACATGGTACAATCAAAATCTTTCATTCCACTACCATGAAGAACGGAAGCTGCTACGATTTTGTCCCTTACGTGATTCAAGCCGTCAAGGATTATGAAAATCTCGAGAGTACCCCTTAACAGATATATTATTGGCTATATAAAGGGCTTGAAGACTAAGAGAAAAAGCTGCTAATTCACGCTAATTCACTGATTCATACTCTCAAAAGACTATTCACATGCTTTTCATTTCTCTTTAGTCTGTATAGTTATGAAACACTATTTACATATTAGTTTGAATTTCCTTAAGGGACCAATTAGGTGAGCATCCTTAAAAATTATAGGACTTATGCGTCTTTGAGGTTGTTGTTAGTCACTTGCGGGTAGCTTGTGCATTGTAATAATCAGTTTGATTATTGGATTAAGTCCTTGTTTGATAAGGCGAAATCACCTTGGCGGATGGACTAGACTAGCTTGACAGTTTTCAAGTGAAATAGTATAAATATACTTTGTTCTTTACTTCCTGTTCTTAATTATTGTTATTATCAAGAGTGGGGAGACTGCATTTTATTTAAAGAAGATTATTTTTAAAGAATTTTTTTTTTGAATTAAAATCCAATTCAAACTTCCTATTTCTTGTGTTTTTCACACCTTCAATCTCTTAATCAAATTTGACCAAAAAAAGAACAATTTGAGCACAAGTTTTGAATCCAATTTGCTAAATTAAAAATTCCTTCAACTATCTAATAAACATTTTCTCGTACCTTAATATACAATAAACGCCAATTTTGAAATTGATAACATAATCAATCAAAAAACAAGAAAATGAAAGTTAATCATATTTTTTTAATGCCAATATAATATATAATAAGAAAAGAAAAAAAAGGGAAAAATCCAACTACAAATACAAAACAAAGTCAAACGGACACAAGCAGATTTCACAAATACCTACAAACAAAAGTATAGGAAACAAGAGCTGCACCCATACTAAGGTTGTTCATGGTACAATTTAGAAAGAAATTTAAATCGAACTGAATTAAATTATAATAAAAGTTTATTCGAACGGAATCGAACTATTTCAATTTATTTAGAATTGAACCGAACCAAAATTATTGATTTGGTATACCGTTTAGAAATTCCGAACCGTACCGAATTGTTAAAAGACAACTTTTCTCGAACCGAACCGTTTATTAAATAACCGAACCGTTAAACTATTTTTAAAAAAAAAATTAAAACTTATTTTTTAGTAGTTTTCGTTTTCGTTTTCAGTTTTGGTTCAGTTCGATTTCAGTTTCGTTTCAGTTTTGTTTCAGTTTCGGTTGGATTTCAGTTTGGTTTCAGTTTCGATTCGATTTTAAAACTGTTTGTGTAATATGGTTTGATTCATTAACCAAACATAACAGTTTGGTTATTTTAATCCCAATTCGGTTCAATTCGACGGTTCAATGCAGTTTATGATTTTTTTGAACAACCCTAACTCACACAACAAAACTCCACACAACAAAAATCCAACTAGAGTTTAGACCGCCTGACCCACCATCAATAGACTAGGAAAATCGCAACAACACTAAAAACCACTAAATACTTCTAAAGACGGTCAAACACAAGATAGAATTTTGAAACCAAACTAAAAACTACTGAATACATCTGAAGACGGTCAGACACAAGATAGAGTTCTGAAGCCAATCAAAAAAGAAAAAGAGAAATTTTACATATGAATGACTACAAAACCAACACCAAACCAAAAAAAAAAAACTCTTATCCACCACCTCTTTTCCGATAGTTGATGAATCATCATAAATAAGTGGGCCAAATTGAAAATCATTTCATCTTGTAATGCTATAGAAAGAAAATAATGGTAGTGCCTTCTTGAAACCATCATAGCTTTCACGCGGCCTTTGATAGACCCCAATTCAACATCGATGAGGGTGTGGCTAGATCTAGACGTGATCAGAGAAGATGGAGGGTTCTTCCATCATAGTGAGGGTGTTGGCAGGGGAGGAAAACAAGAGCGGCGAGGGTGGCCAAACAGTCGTGTACAGCGAGTAGCTGAAAACATTGTGAACAAGAAAGAAAGGTGACATGCATTTTATATAGTTTTGGTGGGGGTGTGTTAGATAAAATCTGTTGAAACTCTAAACCCAAAGGTGCACACATAAACCATTCGTGCATATTAGAAATCGCCCTTATAGATTGTTAGTTGAAGAGAGAATAGAAAAGAAAAGAAACATGAAAAGTAAATTGACCCTAGTCTTATTTGAAATGATACATGTTGCATAACTGTTTATGGCTATGAGACAGCAACATTTTGTTCTTTTCAGTCACCATACTCTTTCGAGACATTCTGAGAGCAGAAATTTGAGATTCATAGTGTAACTCTATTACAAGCAATTGAATTTCAACACACCTTTCACCTCCAAGATTACATTTCAATATCTAAAATTATCCAAAAATTACAATTGTTGACATTGAAACCGCGTAATAAAATCAAATAAATCAACGTCCAGTGATTGGCATATCAACTCTTTTCTTGCTAGCTAGAAGTGTACATGTTGGCTTCGGATAGAACCTTTTTAGACTAAAACTTAAAAACAAACAGAAGTTTCTTGTATACATTTCGTCCCTATTGACAATCATAGTCACAATTGACAGGAAGAGAATTTACATCTCCCTTTGGCGTCTGGATCTACGCACAAGGTAAATACGCCCATAAACCCATTGTCTACCAAGTCTTGAAGTTGATTGCTGCATATGATAACATCACATATGTTTCAAGTTTAACTTTCTATATACTCAATAATAAATCGAATAGCAGCCTAATTTTATGAACTGTCTTTTGCAAGAAGTAAAAGCTCTACATGTTATGTTATTACCTCAATCTCGGTGCGAAACTCCAATAAGCATTCACACACATGGCACTTTGCTCTATGGGGTGAGTTAGCGTTGTCTGTTTTTACAAACGCAAATACCTGAAAAAATAACCAAACTCATCGAGACACTTCTAAAGAGCTTATGAAAATAGTTTATGATATGTCTCTTAGTTGTTTTTAACTTATTTCCATAAGTATCTCCAAATAGCTAATTGTCATAAGTTAATTTTAGATTATTCTATAAAGTTCAATCTCATTCCAACTTCAATAGAACAAACATCTGGTATATATGTTGACAATAAGATAATTGCTTATTGCATAAGTGTTTGAGAATGGTTGAGGAGCAATGACTAACCTCTTCTGCACAATTTGGACACGAACCCTTTAGTGCTGCCAAGTCGTTCCTCCACAAGCCTTGAAGTACTTTAACTGTGAAAAAAGGCGCTCAAATAACATACAAATATAGAAGCACAGCGACATTGAAATGAACTAATCAAAATTTTTGTAGTTCCAAAAGTCTGTATTGAAAACTTTTGGTGTTTAGCAGGAAAAGAATTTTTACCTGAAGCTGAAGCAACTGGATATCCTATGACAAAACCGAGTGCCATGAAGATAATGATATTCACCATGAAAAGAAACCCTAGTTCTGATCCTTGGCTACCATATGATAACCCTGAGTTAAATGCATTTTGATGAGCCAAGCTGATGGTGTAAAACATTGGTCCAACACATGCGGAACTACCAAATGCAAAAAATAGGGTCCATGTACTCGCCAATGTAAAAACCATAGATAGATCTTCCTGCCCTACATCCACATCATTCAATATTAAGGTGAAGAAACCAATAATAGAGAAAGAAGAAAAGGAAAAAAAAGGGGTGGATGGACCTTAACACTCGAACCAGATGAATAAAATATCAATATGTCACAAAACATGTAAAAACTAGAGATATTCAACAGAACTAGCACATATCACGAAACATGTAAAAACTAGCTATATTCATTAGCACATATCACAAAACATGTAAAAACTAGCTATATTCATTAGCACATATCACAAAACATGAAAATAGCACCTTCTCAAAAACAAAAAACAGAAACATGAATATCATATAACTATCAGAATTTGTTATTGAGCCTAACTCAACAAGACAAAATCCATTTCAAGATGAGCGATACCTATTCTTCATAAACTCTTTTCAGGTGTTATCTATAATCAATGCAACATTTGAATTTTTCTCAATAATAACTTTGTGAGCCACATCTAGAGCCGTCTTTGAGGACGTGCAAGGCGGACTACAGAACATGGTCTCAAATTTTAAGGGTTAAAATATAGCTAAGTAGAGCCTCATAAAACAATTTTCATGGTAAATAGTGACTAAATATGACCTTTATTTGTTTTGTCAAGGTTAAAGTGTACCTAACCTACACAGGGACACTCGGCTCTGGCCAAATAAAAAGTGAATAAGGATTAATCTAAACTTGTGAAGAAAATCACCTCAGCATCAGCATATGTTGATTGCCTTCTGATACTGCATCGAGGATACTTCACAACTGATTTGGAACCATACCACTTAAGCTTCAACTATTTCCATAATAATATGAGTGAGATTGAGAAGAGCAGTGTAAAAATATAACAAGTTAAGAAGCATAACTTGCATAAGTGGTGAATTGGGGTAGAGAGATATACCTCAACTCTATCAAACATGTCATCAACTATCAAAGGCTCTCCTCTATAATACGCATCTCTTGCCTATTACCAAAGAGCACCATGTTAAAAACACCCTGAACAACCTCAAATATCAGAAACAGAGTTATAGAAATTACCTGAGAATAAAGAGCTTCAAGGGTCTCTTGGGTGGCAGTTTGAAGAGGACCGACATATATACAAGATGGACCATGAGGACGGTCGTCGCAGGTTGCAGAGATCCGAAGAGAGAGTGAAGAAGAAGAAACAGTGCGGTTGGTTTTGATTTTGGATGATTGTACCACCGTCCATCCACCCAAAGCGGTGTTGCTGCTCGTGCTTGCCAACATACTCATCCCAATTTGCCATCCATACCTAAATGTTATGAGATTTCTTAAAGACTATAGAAACATAGCTTGTGCAAGCCATATTTCAATGTGAATTTTGAATCATGCAATACCAACCACACAAATATAAAGAAACAAGTATTGGGAAGAGTTTATACCACACATCTATAAATATTAATCTCATTGGTCCTAACTTTGGAGTTTGAATTTCTTTGGATTCAGACAAAACCTTCCGTAGAGAATATTGACAAAATACTAGTCCTGTAATAAATAATAATAACGTGTAAAATTAATATTTCCGAAAAAAATGGAAAAATACATTATGCGTTTGCCGGGAGTCGAACCCGGGTCTATTGCTTGGAAGGCAATTATCCTAACCGTTGGACTACAAACGCCTGTTGAGTGATGTTTTCAAATTATGTTTCTAGAACTCAATATATTTTCTGAAGCAAGTAAAAACAATAGCTCCACAAAAAAAAAAAAAAAAACTCAGCCACTTCACCCTTGCGTTGTATCAATCAGAAAGAAACAAATCGGAGTATCGCTGAACTCAACTTGCCGGAAACCGCCGTCGAAATAGTTCATCGACCACCACAAACAGTGAGAAACTCCGTCCATTTTTCCATTTCTTACTAATTTACTCTTTTTGATGCGATTCCGCTATTGTGTTTTCCTTTAAATTGATATGATTTGTTCCAATTTCAGATCAGAATGAATGAGCATCATCATCAGAATCAGAATCAGAAAAACAAATACAGTATAATTGTCCCGACGTATAATGAACGACTCAACATCAGTCTCATTCTTTACCTTATATTCAAACACCTTCAGTAATTTCTACATCTTTTCAATCTTTTTCTTCTTCTTCTTCTTCTTCTTCTTCTATGTTACTGTGGATTTTGTTTACAAGCCTATAGATAATTTATTTTTTCGAAATATATGCATGTTCCTATGAATCCTATGTGTATAATGCAAACAATTTGTAATCACAACCTTTTTAAATTTTAGCTTCTTTTTTCAACCCTAATTTAGTGTAGAGTTGCAAATCTTATATTATGTCAATCATCTTCACAAAATAAATAGCGGTTTGCTCAAGTTCGGCATTGCTATAGCAGGTTTTTTTTAATAACAATTTGCCGTATATAGCATACTCAGAACAATAATCACTTGTTCGAATTCTGTTACGCTATAGCACTATATAGCATATCCGTAGTCACTATTTTAAGATACTGACTAAACTTCATTCTATTGCTCATATAGAGATGTTGATTTTGAAGTTATTGTTGTGGACGATGGAAGTCCCGATGGTACTCAGGATGTTGTGAAACAACTACAGAAGGTTTATGGAGAAGATCGGATTGTAAGCATTGACATTTACAATTTGAATTTTCATGTGTAAATTAACGACTAGTAATTTCTGATCTGTTCTAGTTTTTGAGATATATATAGCTCATTTCGTATCGTTTAGAGTAACCATGCTTATTCTTGTGGTTACAGTTGTTGAGAGCCAGACCTAGGAAGATGGGTTTAGGTATGTACCTGATAGTTTTAGTAATCGGTCTTTGATAAAAACTGGCACTTGATGTGATTAATTTGCAGGAACGGCTTATGTTCATGGCATGAAGCATGCATCTGGAAATTTTGTTGTCATTATGGATGCTGATCTATCACACCATGTAAGTTATCCTTCACGTGTTGACAATAGGTTGCGGTTATGGATAGTTTTGAAGAGGAATGAAAAATTAACAAAACTTGGATGAACTTTGAGATTTTTATTTGAAAATTTGTAAGTTGCAGCATTGTATTTTTATTTTATTACTCTTTTTTTCTGACCTGTTTAATTGTTTTGCAGCCAAAATATTTGCCAGGCTTCATTAGGTACGAAAACTTTCAATAGTCTCTTTGTTTTATTGTTAATTGCCACAACTTAACTCTTCCTATTGTTTTTTCAGAAAACAGTTGGAAACTGGTGCGGATATAGTTACAGGGACTCGTTATGTTAAAGGCGGTGGTGTGCATGGATGGAATCTTATGCGGAAACTAACAAGCAGGGGAGCTAATGTTCTTGCACAAACACTTTTATGGCCTGGTGTCTCAGATTTGACAGGGTCTTTTCGGTATAGAGCTCAATAATGGATATTAAACAGTTTGGATAGTGTTGGTGCTCCAATGTTGACTGGTTTGAGATTGATGTATTGTTGTTTCTTGTAGACTTTATAGGAAACCAGCGCTTGAGGATATCATTAGTTGCTGCGTTAGTAAGGGATATGTCTTTCAAATGGAGATGATAGTACGGGCATCCAGAAAAGGATACCAAATTGAAGAGGTGCAATTGCTTTATTCGTGAACTTATGGTTATTCTTTATGTGAACTTCGTTGTTATGTTGACTTCATAGCTCATGAACTTGGTTGTAGCATTGCTCATCACTATATGTGCCATCATTTATACATAGGTTGATATATCTGGCGTATTTTTCTTTTTTTGATTTATAACATGTACTATGTTTTATTCATAAAACTTGTAAATTGAATGATGGAACACCATTTTTAATTACAGCTTACAAATGTCTGCTGGTGGAGTCTAGAAATATTTTGCCAATGCATGTACACCCTAATCCCGCGACTTCGGTTGACCCGGGAAATTGCCTAAGTCAATTATTATTGATCATTTGTATGCGCTGTGTCTGTTGATGCAATAAACATGTATTTTCATGGAGACATTCTAGTATCCATATATTGAATATAAGCTGTAGCTGTAGTTGTGGCTTTGCTTTCTCACAATTTTTTTAAATTACTGACTTTCGCTGATAAATTCAGTTTTGTATGACATATTATTAATCTGAAGGACGTGTTTGATATTAACATTGCCAATTTGAATAACTTTCCTACTCATACTTTCCTGTGCTTTGTAGACCGTCAGAAATGATAATTATTCACTTCGTATTTAAATCTATTTATGCATATATATCAGGAGAGGATTTGAATGCTTGATGGTTTGCTTTTCTTTTTCTCTTACTGTGTTTGCCCCGTCTTCATTTCCTTCTCAAGTACTTGTCGAGTAGATGGCTTAGAGTTCTTAATGAAATTACCCTGTTCAAGCTTATCACTGTTCATTATTCACTTCATAACTTACCTTAGTTTCACATGTGTGCAGGTTCCAATCACGTTTGTTGATAGAGTATACGGAAGTTCAAAGCTTGGTGGATCAGAGATTGTTGAATACCTAAAAGGCCTAGTATATCTTCTGATGACAACATAAAAAGAGATCACAACTCATGTATGTCTATCAGTTTGGCAAAAACTCGATAGATATTGTAGTTCAATATACACGTTCGTTTGCTAGAATCTTCATAGTTTGTGTTCTTGAGTTTTGTAAGAAGCATCTTATTGAATAACCCGAGTTTATAACTGTTGGAAAATGCTGATGATTAATTCATTTTGGTTTACTCGAAAGTGTGACTTGCGTCGAGCCATTTTCTGGTTTTCCCTTTCTGTCACCAACCGTTAATATGTGACTCATCCTAAAAGGAAATACAACTTCTCAGTCTAGAAGATTTCTTTAACATTGCTTGAATGAATGTTTATCTTTTATATTTGATGAAAATGAACGTTTTATGATGCAATAAGTACCATATAATTTCTTTAATTTCATATAAAATGTAAATATAGTTTTTAAAAATTTTCAACTATCCGTATTAAATATTTTTGAATTAAAATAAACAATATATTAAAAATTAAAACATTAAACAGTAATTTTTTTTAATAGTAGTGAATAAAATTTGAAGTTTATTTTGTTGTTTGTAATAGTGACTTAAAAAGTACTTTATTTTTAATAAATTATTCTTTTACTATTTTATAAAGAAGGCGTAAAAAAAATAATAGAAATGGTGTGTTAAGTTTAATTAGGTGGCGTGGGAAGGTAAACAATTCCTGTCAAAAACCAAACTGACCCTACAACAGACAAACAACGTTAAACACGAGAGACATGCAAAAACAAACCAATTCCTAACTTTGCTGGTTTTTGTTTCCTCAACTTATTCAAACCCGTTTCCAAATCTATATACACGGAGAAGAAAATTCATTTTCAATCATTTTTACCAAAATGTGTTAGAATTAGAAACCTGAAATCTCTACCAAAAAGGTAAAAGGGTCATCATAATGGGAGGAGGTAGGGACCCACAAGGTGGCAACGTCGAGGTTAACGTTCATTCCCACCGTGACGATACCACCGTCCATAACGGTCATGGACGTGGGTCTCAACCGTCAAATCCTCCTCCCGTCATTCATGATCGTGATTTCAGGCTCTTTGAACGATGGTTCCCATGGTTGGTTCCAACCTTTGTGTTTGCTAACATTGTTATGTTTATTGTTACCATGTATGTTAATGATTGTCCTAAGAATTCCTTCAATGGTTCCTGTGTTGGTTCTTTCCTTGGAAGATTCGCTTTTCAGCCCCTCAAAGAAAACCCCCTCTTTGGTCCTTCTGCCACTACGTGAGTTTTTCATCTCATTCTACTTAATATTATCTCTGTAGCACCGACACTTGGTGTCTGACACAACTGCAACACCGCCACATGTGATTACATTCAATTAGTTCACCTTTTGAAATTATTATGAAAATGATGTTTTTGCAATGGCTAATGGATAGTACCATAGTTATTTTTACAGGTAGATATGTGTAATTTGGAGATCTTTATAATGTGATGCTGAAAATTATTTATTTACATTTCCAGATTAGGAAAGATGGGTGCTCTAGTAGTAGATAAAGTGGTTGTTGAACACCAAGTTTGGCGCCTTTTCTCTTGTATATGGTTGCATGGTGGAGCTATCCATGTACTTGCCAACATGCTGAGTCTTGTTTTTATTGGAATTCGGCTTGAACAAGAATTTGGATTTGGTATGGTTCTGGTAATTATCCTTGTATTGTTCAAGTATATCATTTATTAACCAACAATGTTCAAGTATATGTATAAATATATATATTCATTGTTTGTTACAGAGATGTTATGGAAGAAGCTTCATTTTAGTCCATTCTCAGTTGCATATTGGTTTTTTTTGCAGTTAGAATTGGGGTTCTGTATGTGATATCTGGTTTTGGAGGCACTTTGCTGTCTGCTTTATTCATACCATCGGGTATATCAGTTGGTGCTTCTGGTGCATTGTTTGGCTTACTTGGAGGAATGCTCTCCGAGATTTTGATAAATTGGACAATATATGCCAATAAGGTGAACGAACCATCACACATGTACAATTCAATTTCAACGGTGCTTCCTGATAAATAATACGTTTTGTCTTTGCACCACAGTCGTTTAATTTCTTTCGATTTTGTCTTGTGCTGTTTTTCAGTTGGCTGCATTGTTGACTCTAATAGTCATTGTCCTAATCAATTTAGCGGTTGGAATTCTTCCACATGTGGACAATTTCGCTCATCTTGGAGGATTCGGTTCCGGGTTTCTTCTTGGATTTGTCCTTCTTATTCGCCCACAGTTTAAATGGATAAGCCAGAAAAGATCTCCCGCCGGATTTGGGCCTTCTGTAAAACATAAACACAAATCTTATCAGTATGCACTTTGGGTTTTGTCTTTCGTAATACTCGCTGCAGCGTATGTTCTCTTTAGTTTTTCTTTCTTCTATTTTTGTAAATCCTTTTTATTTTCTTAGCGATATAATTGCATTAATATCAATGAGACCGTATTTATGTAGGATTAGAACTTTGATACTTTTTGTTGCAAAAAATTCGCTCAGAGAGATTGAATTAATGTTATTTGCTTATAAAACAGATTGATTGCGGGGTGTGTTTTGCTCTTTAAAGGTGTTAACTTGAACGAGCATTGCTCGTGGTGCCATTATTTAAGTTGTGTTCCAACTTCAAAATGGAGTTGTCAAGAACCAAGGCTTTTTTGTCAGGTGAGTACTCATTTCTTATGTATCTCACATCAATTGATTCAATTCTTTTTCATAGTTCCTAGAGCTATAAACTGGCAGAGTTAATTAGGTGACTTGTATGTTAAGAAAACATACTATTTTGTTGTCGATTCTAACATTTAAGGATATTGTTGCACAATGTTATTCGTTTACCTAAATTGTTTTTTGATACAATATTCTATGCAGACGATGGAAATCGGAAATCAACTTAACATCACATGCATGAGCAATGGGAGAAGTGACATTTATCCTCTGTCAAGTACTAGCTCTTCTGATATGCAACAACTTTGTTCGCAACTTTGCAGGGGATAGATAGACAGATACACATGTAACATTTCTTAAAGGAACGACATTGAACAACTTGTGTATATGATTCATACTTGGTAGTGCAGAGAAATTCTTTCTTCTCATGATTGTTATTGCAGCCATCACGAGTATATATTGTTTTCACTGATATTTTCTATATCCTTAGAATGAAATGCTGTATGCTATTATTTTTCTTGTGTCAAAGAGCGATAAGAGATGTATGTTGTATTTGGTTAAAGAAGTAAAAAAAAAACTCAAAAATTGTAAATACTGTCAGAGATTATTAAGATGTGTAATTCTAAATGAAATCCTGGCAACAGATACTTAATGTCACAGTGAATGTTATGACACCGTATCTGACAAATTGTACACAAACCAAACAGTAATTCAAAAGACAGTAAAGAACACAATCAATTGTTAACCCAGTTCGGTGTATAACGACACCTACATCTGGGGGCTACCAAGCCAGGGAGGAAATTCACTATAAGAGGTATTAATTTAGGAATAAACCAACCAGTTTATCTCCTTCACTTAAGACCTACCAAATGCAACTTCAATCTAAGTCCTACTTAAATCTGAGTTCCTACTCACTCCCCCTCAATCACAGCACTGATACTAATCTACTAATTAATAAGATTATGAAGACATTCTTCAATACACACGCTTGATTTTGCTTCAAAGCTTTAATCAAGAGACATAACACTCGTGCTTCAAAGCTTTGAGTGATAAACAACCCTTACAACCAAAACCTACTCCAAGTCACTTATCAAGTGATAATTGCTTGGCTCACAGTAATTACTAAAACTAGTACAACTACAAAATGCCTTATTGATCTTCTGTATAAGCGCTACACACCATTAGAATTCGTGAGAAATATATATGCAGTCTATTCTTCATTTTGGGCTTCCATAAAAATAGCTAGGATTAACCAAAGTTAACCTAAAGACTTGGTCTTGGGCTTTCATCATAACAGATTAGGGTTAAACAAGGTTAACCTAATATCCACGTGAGCATTTGATCTAGTCAACATACTTCAACTCAGAATAGCACACCAGATTCCTGAAAATTCTCAGCAACAATAAATCTGCACAACAACTTGATCAGTACAAGATGTCTTAACATTGGTTATGACATCATGTATCCTGCTCACTGATTTTGGTAGAATTCAGTACATATGATCATAGCTTAATCATGATATTCACTCATACTGAGTTGTTCATGTAGAACATTCCTTCTGCAGAATTTGTCTTTATCCTAGAATGTTATGACATTAGTCATGACATTCGCAAATCTGGTTTTACCAAAAATTAATGCCAACAAGCAAACACTTACAAACTCCCCCTTTGGCAAATTTTTGGCTAAAACTCCTAAACAATCAGAGATTAGAATGCAGAAGCAACATGCAGCAAAATTTTTTAAAACAACTAATCTAACTCCCAATATCCAATTCTACCAAAAATACCATACTTACTTCTCCCCCTTTTTAGCCATAAAGAGGCCAAAGGATCTAGTACTTCAAGTTATACAGTCATCAAAAGGAAATAAAAAAAAAAACAGAAACCGAGAGAGGGTATCAAATAGCAGCAGCAAGTTCCAGCCTCAATCTTTACAACTCAGCAAACACAGACCTTTAGGTACTGTCATCCCCTGAGGAAGCACTATTTTCAGCAGCATCTTCTGGTGAGCTTCTTGCAGAACCATCATGCTGTTCAGCATCCTCTTCCCTCATTTGTTCTTCATTCTCCTCCTGTTCCAGACTAGTAATCAACTCTTCAAGAGTCCTTTTTCTTGCATCAAGCTCTCTGCAGGTTTCTTTTAGAACAACTATAACATCAGTTTTCTTGGAAAGAGCTTCGACATTTGATGTCTCAGCAGATGTCATAACAATGTTAGGGACATGTGTTCTCTGAAACAGCTTATAGTAAAAACCAAGTGCAGGGGCTCTTTTGCACACAGAGTCCTTTTCAACCAGAATATCAGGATACTGATCAATGATTATACCACACAGGAGAGAGGGAAAAGCAATAG